ACACACACATGCACACGCACACACACACACCATTAGCTTTATGGACAAACTGCCTTGACCCCAGGTGGCGCCCTCATTCATCAGCAGGTTGGGAGAAAGGGAGGGATAAGAGACGGAGGATCATGGGGTCACAGAGTGTTTACTGCTGTGGCCTGTTTGTTTGTGGACTGGCCCTGACTCTGTGGAGTTAATCCAGATAGAAAATGACCAGAACACAGCGGGATTCATGTCTGTCCTTTTGTACTGGGAGGATTTCACTAATACATCCTGGAGTTTCCTCTCTGTGTTTCCTCTTTTCTATTTTACACCTGACTGTATGTCGCAGAGATAATGATGCTGTTTTCACAGAAAATACATTATTATGGGTTATGGGTTTTTACTGCAGCACTGTGTGAGTGGACGTGCATTTTGATTGGCAGCTGAGTCATTACTTGAAGTGGACGTAAAATTATTGATAAATATAAAAAAAGAAAGAAAGAAAGAGAATGACGTAAAGATATAACTCAGAATGTTGCTTCAGATAGTTGGTGGATTTAAATCATTTCTGTGAATCCTGATAGTGACCTGTGATGTAGAATGTGTCGAGGGCTGGTGGTCGTCTCCAACAATAGTTTCTGATACTTTTTTTTCCGCACAGTGTGTCCAAATAACAACATGTTTATCCACTGTGTATTTGAGCAACAGTAACTGTATAGATCAGGGGTCTCCAGGACCCCCAGGCCTTGAGTTTGACACGTATGAATTATGGGATATCTAATCCAGATACTGCTCCTGCCACATATTAAGAAATTCACCCATTCAATCCCTGCTGATGGCTAATGATTTTTTTTGTTTGGAGTTTGTATGTTCTCCTACATGTTCTCATGGGTTTTCTTGGAACTTTTCAATGAATCACAGGCATGAATATGAGTGAACGATGGTTGTTTGTCTCCATATATGACGGACCGTTGAACAGTCAAAGACCAATAGCCCTTGAACCTCACCCAATGACTGCTGGGATTACCTCCAGCCTCCCTCTCTCCCTCTTTTTTTCTTTCAAGAGTAAAAAAGATTCTCTGGCTTTTGTTTTTCTCATTGTTTGGTTATTTACATATCACAGCACATGTAGATGTTATAAATCACAAACCAAAGGCTTTTTTAGACCCACCGTCCTGATGTGTGCGTCATTCAGACATTTAGTAAACGCTCGTGTTAAACTGAGAAGTTAAAGGCTTGAGGTGAAACCTTTTCAGCTCCTTACTTGTCTGTGACAGCAAATTACATCACCTCCAGTCTAATTGGTCGTCTCAGCAGCCACAGACAGAACAACACGTTAGCTTTAAAGTCGTTAATTCAAGATCAAAGGGAATTTCTGACATTTAAAAAAACCTAAACCTGCCTCGTGAGGAAATAGAGAAATGTAAATACCAGTTAAATAATAGAAATGGATGCAGTTCCTCATTGGCTGGATCTGACAATGAACGTCACAGAGATGAAAACTTTTGATTTTTTGAGGACAAACTAATTGTTATTTATACAATGGTAAATCACAAATTCTTTGGCTGGAGTTAATCTTTACCATGATCTTTATTTTTCGATTTTAAAGCCGTTGCCAAGGTCATCTCACAGAGGGAACCTTCTGTCTTCATCTTCAACCCATGTGTGGAGGGTAAAAAAAAAACAATAAGTCATTTTAAAACAGCGAATAAGTCTGTAATCCCCAACATTTGTCATTTTAAAACAGCGAATAAGTCTGTGATTGGATAGGTTCCTCATTTCCTTTCACCTGATATCAAATATCATGATGAATGCTGCTTGTATTTGGGACTATTAGTGACTCACTGAGATGGAATGCAGCCATTACTATGAGTTAGATTTTATGAAACAGAAAATTCTGCAGAGTCAATTCTTTTTTTTCCCATCACCAAATAAAATAAACAAATAAAACCAGGTGAAATAGAAACATAACATTAACTGTGCACTATTTCATTTTGCCCAAACACAGAGAGCGCAATCATAACGATAATAATAATAATAATAAAAATCAATATGAAATAAGCACAACACACTATGTGGGAAGAATCAAAAACAAAGCACCGGCCATTAATCGACCTGAGGTCATTATAAGGTGCATCGGGAGCGGAAATTGATTTGGCTCAGTGTGGCTGCCTGCCATGGCTTCAACATATAATCAAGCAGCGCACACTCGCACTGTTAGGGAGCGTGGCATAAAAGCACTAACGGCTGCCACTAAAGGTTCCCTCTGGCTGCAGAGACGTCAAAAGAGCCACAATGGTGGACGCAACTGAGTGGACAAGACCTCTGACCAGAGTCTTAGACGCAATTACTGTGTGTCTCTATAGACTAGTATAATGTTTTGTTATTTTATTTTCCTATTTTCGTTTTTCGAGTTGGTGCCTATTTATGCAGTATTGATTAAATAAGAGCTCATAATGAACTCACTTGGAACTAAGACGAAGGTTTATTAACCTAATAAGGCTAACAAATTAAAAAAAAAACAACCCAGAATTACTGCCCCTAGAAATGGTTAATTTATAAAAACACATTTATTCCACAGTGAACAGCAGCGGTTCTGTGTGGACAGGTGGGTGAGTGTCGTTGACAGATAAGTCAGTGGATAACTAATGCTGTCAGTTAGCGACAGCGACGATTGATGCGCAAACATTTAACTTTCTAATCAAACTGATTGAAGGAATAGATTTAGTTTCCCGAAAGATGTCAAATCAATGAGCGCTCTGCCATTTTTTCTGTTAGCCATCAATACGTGAAACAAAAGGGGAATGATATATGGACACCGGACGTGGGATGACCTGTCACGCAGAGTGACTTTTGTTTGACAGATTAAGTAGAGGACCATCTGGCTGCGGGCAGAAGGAGATACAACAGTTAATTACCTGTCAAACTTTGATCAACTCGTCAACTAACGAAGTCAGTGACACGCAGGGATTTTCAATTATGCAACATTTCATTTGTTTTCTTATTGGCTGCCACTCTTTTTATACGGTTTCACCTTTATCTCCTTAATTTGAAAATGCATCCCGTTATGTTAATTTTGTTTGCATAATAATTAAAACCAGACAGTATCACAGCACCACTGTGTTAAAAACATCAAACTAACTGTCTTTTTTTAAGTATAATAATATAAATTTGATTGCAAATATCTTGTCACGGTTTTCCAAAGTTTCACAGATGTGATGACCTTAAAGTCAAACCACTGTAGTGACGACAACATGCAGCTTTGTTACTGACGTCAGGCAAAGAAAATGACAATTTGTGTGACGGCTTTATGTCCAACCGTGCGTGAATAATCTGCCTGGAAGCTGCCGTTGGACATGATGTAATTTTTTTTTTTTACACTGGGAATTAGGTTGATAACACGGTGCAGGAATTTGCTGCTTCGAGTGACTTGCTTTCTGCTTCAAGCTCTGCTTGGAGTTCAGATTCAAGGGGGGGAACTTTTTTATTTTTTGTTCTATAACTCTGTTATGGTTGACCAGACGTGAGAATGTGGAGCATAGGGCTACGTGCTAGGCCTGTAAAAATAAGAGAATTAGAAGTAAAGATGAATGAATTACAGTGTGTGCTATAAAATGAGAAGCTAACTTTGAATAGTTTTGCTAATTTTTGTGTATTGTAATGAAAGATACGGCTAACAGATGAGTGTGAGTGTGGATGGTCCTGTCTTTATGTCTGGACTCAACTTTATTTTTAAAGTTCTTTTATTTGTTAACATCAATAAAAGTTAAGAAAATTCAACAACAGTCAATTATCAAGTGAGAAAAATGTGATTCAAAAACATAACTTTATTTTTGTTAACATCAATAAAAAGTTAAAGACAATTCAACAACAATCAATTACCAAGTGAGAAAAATGTGATTCAAAAACAGGACGTGAGTCAGTCCGTTTCATTCCAAGGTTTTGGAGCTGTATCTACTGACCTGAGAGGTTTCATGCAGCTGGAGCTCCAGGTTGACCTTCGGGTTGACCCCCAACAACCACTCGCCACCGTTAAGACCCTCAAGTTTTTTTTTTTTTGGCCACTTCATGATAAGATACCGTGCACCAAATAGTTGCATGATAGAAGTTCTGGTTCCCGTCATGTTTTTTCTTTCTATCCAAACAAGCCAAGCTTTGTACAGTAGGTGAATGCAGACATTTTGTAAAAACGAGCCTAGCTACAGTAGGTGAATGCAGACATTTTGTACGGAGTGTTGGCTGCTGACGTTTCCTGTGAGTGACTGTACTTGACCTTTATACCTTGGATGAACACTATCTCCTACAGAAAAGGGAGTAATGATATTTCTTTGTCACGTCTCTGGAGTCGTGATGGAGGTTTCTGAAAGTCAAGGCGTGGAAAAGTTTCTTCTTTATGAACGACGGTCTCCCTTATCATCTGCTGCAGTGTTAAATGTCCATCAGCTGCACTTCAGCTCTGCGCACACACAGTAATGAATCTATTAACAGGTTTATTTAGTGGTTAATCACTTAATTAAAAGCAAAGTAATTAGGTTTTCAAGGCTCTCGGAGGGAACCTGCCGCACGTCAGGAAAGGTTGACTGGATGAAAAAAATGTGGTCACTGAAGTTGTTAAAAGAGACTATATTTAACAACAAGAGGACGAACAAATAAATACTGAACTTTGTCTCAATCAGCCGCTCATTCCAATTATACTACCCACTGATAGTGTGCTTCCTTCAATTTTTAACCATTTAGTGTTTGTAGAAGCGTTGTTTTTTCTCTAAAGTTAATTAGCAACAAAACTTGACAGTTTCAGATGAATTGAAACAGATTTTAATGTGATATTTTTATTCTTTTAGCATTTGATGTTCACCAAAAAATAAGCAAAGATAAAAGCTCAGAATTAGGCAGTAGTATTTTTTAGAAAGTTTGTTGCACTTACCATAAATATTTTCAGTACTGTACAGTTGACACAGTTGTGATTATCTGGCTGCAAAACGATCTTGATTCCTGTCCCTCAAAGAAATAAGATACTGTAAAAGCTCAATGTTAATTCCAACCGTTTTGTTTTTGTCTGTTCTGTTTCCCAGAAGACAGTAGGAGCATGAAGACGGTGGTGGCTCTGCTGTTGCTCTGTCTGTGTCATCCTGGACATGGTGATTGCCCGGCAGACTGTCTGTCCTGCAGCAACATCCTGCCAAAGCAGCTCAATTTCAACACCATGGTACGGAGCATGAACTCTAAAATCCTCCAGACGTTGTACTCTCCTGTAGTACACGTGGCTTGTAATAAAACTGTAAAAAGAGTGAACTCTTTGAAACTATTCATTTTTATCATATCACACAGAGCTAGACTGCTCCCTCACAAAAATATAAGTCACAAACATAATCTGTCCACAGGGGTTTTTTAAAAATGTGGAAATGAAACAATTCCTTGTTTTCATCTTCCCCTGCTGTTTCCAAGTCATCAATTTACCCTTTTGGCAATCAACTTTTAATTTGTTGTGAATCATACGAGTCAAATCATTTGGCCTTTCTGAGCCTGTACCTTCTGGTTGTTTCTTTTTGGATAATGACATCTCTGTTTTATGGCATTTTAGGAGGGAAAAGATATTAAAGTCTAGATGAGTGTAAAATACTCACCAGGATTTTGGACTCCTGAACCTGCTGGATTCAAAGATTGCATTAGTCTCTTAGCTTGGAAGTCTTCTTGAATTCAGTTAACATTCAGTGTTTGTGCAGACAATGCAAACTATCTTTGTAATTGTCATTTAGTCTGGGGCGTTTGGATCGCCAATTAATTGGCATTTAGTCTGGGGCGTTTGGAACGTAATTGGCATTTAGTCTGGGGCGTTTGGATCGCCATCGCCCTCGAAAGAGGCAAGAAACGCCAGTTAAAATGGTACGATTCGTGTACAAGCACGTGAGTTTCTTATAGAGCAGCTACAAGTCCCCTGATAACTTGCTGGCAGAATTAGCCTTTGTTTTTATCATCCCTTATGTTGATATGGTTCTAATTGGACATTTGACTGTCCAGTTATCCACTAAAGCTGTTGAATAATAATTGTAAGCAATGTTTTACCATAAATTGTTATTAAAATGATAACAAAAACTATACAAAATAAGACATTTTTTCATCCCGAAGTAACCCAACAGAAAGATAAGCGGGCCTCCCGCGTGGCAGGCGAGGAATCCCTCGGGAGTTGAGCTGAAAATAAAAGGATGTTTGCATTGGCCGGGAATCGAACCCGGGCCTCCCGCGTGGCAGGCGAGAATTCTACCACTGAACCACCAATGCTTGATACATTGAGAACATTTGAAGTTTAGAGATGCCCGGCTGTAGGATGTTGTAGGTATAAACCAGCCTGGCCTGAATTCTGAGATACTGTTTTTATTTGTCTCCTGCAGGTTTGTCTGTTGGAGTGTGAAGAAAACATCTCCCACACCTTGTCCTGGGATGTCTGTCGTCAGACCCTGTCATCACCACTATCCTCCATCAGTGCTTCTATGCAGAAAAGATCTCAAGAGCAGGCGGGGGCGCTGTTTTCTGATCAGGGAGAGCAACTGGAAAGAGGTCTTTTACTCCCCATGGCACTGCAAAGGTTCGACCATGTTACCCAGGCGCTCGGGATAAAAGAAGGGGAATTAGATGGCAAAGGCAGCCAGTTAAACTCTGACTACGATTCCCAGAATGCCGTGTCCCTTGAGGACGAATATGAAGGGGAAGATGGCCAGGAAGAGAGGGATGCGGACGTGGCAACCAGAGGACAGGGAGATGTGGGACTGAACTTCTCCAAGAGGTTCGGTGGTTTTGTCAAAGGGAGGCACAACTTTCGGAAGCTGATATCTCCGGGGAGATCCTACCAAAAGAGATACGGTGGCTTCATTGGCATTCGTAAGTCAGCCCGCAAGTGGAACAACCAGAAACGTTTCAGTGAGTTTCTTAAGCAGTATCTGGGCATCAGTGCCCGAGCCACCGAGTTCAACAGCGTGTCCGAGAACCTCTCCCAACAGAATGAGATTTAGCAACGTGTTCCCTTAAACCGGTGCCATAAAACAACTCCCCGACTTCACGAGTCTTACAGTCCACACCAGTTCCAACGTTTGACCAGTTTTACTGAAGCTGACCCATTGATATACTACATTATTATTTATCAGGTAGTGTAAATTATGGAGAAACATCTATAAAATTTGTTGCACCTGAAGCTTTTAATAATAATTTTAAAACATTTCAGTTCTAACAATGAAGTCTATTTCTGGTTCTTTGTAAATTAACATTATTTTTATGCTGTGTTATGTCCATGAATCAGCCTTTGTCATTGGTGATTACCTGGATACTCCAAAATGTATTCATCTTTATCCTTGCGTTTCTGTATTGGACAGAATAAAACCAAATTTAAATTAAGACAGAACTGATTTTGTGCCGTTTGTGGCGATGAATTAAAAAAAATACAAAAGGTGCCGATTATTGAGCGTAAACACAGAAAGAATATTAGAATAATGCGGTTTTTCTGTAAACAAGTTTTCGGTAAAATACCAAACTTCCAAACAGTACCAAACAGTCATGCGTATACACTAATCTATCTGTGTGCCAAACTCACACTATGTGATGTGGACATTGTACTTTGACTTTTTTGTGTACAGGTGTCATGTTTCTACATGTACAAACATACTTTGATATTTCTTTTCAACTGTGACGGTGTTTTTCCTTTTGTTGCAAAGTATGTGAACTTGTAAATAGCCGAATTTCAAAATGTCAATAAAATGGTTTGCTATTTCCTTTGTGGCCTGTCATGCAGCAACTGATCCTGTGTCTTGAGGTGTTTTGTTCTCGATGTTTATAGTACGCTGTCTTAAAGTACTCTTAATTCTTTACTCTTTAGTTCACTGTCTCAAAATACTCTTTATTTACTTTTTCAAATTAAATCTATATCTTTTTTTTACCTGATATTTAATTTAAAAAAAGTCATAGGATGATTTTCTCCACTAACATTTGTTCGTGATATATAATTTGTACTGTATTAAGCTACAATGCTGCCATCTACAGGGGAAATATTTTACTGTCATAAAATCCACCCAGAAAAGACCAAAACCTCATACCGAAGAAATAAATAGAAACAAAATACTAACAGATGGTATGGTCTTTCTTGATGAACATTATATCTTAATAATTCTACAAATTAAAATATTTTAGGGGATTTTTAAAAAGCAAATATGGCCATTTTTTAATTTAAAGTCTTATTTAACAGTCGAATCGCTAAGCCTTTCTATCACTTTCTGATATTTTAAATGTATTATTTGAAAAACAATAAAAAAGAGAGGATAATAGAGGGTATTATCTTACGATTAAGAGAAAAACACATTTGATTTTTTACGACCGGAAGTTCCTCCTGTTGACGTCAGTTTGTCATTGGGAGCTACTGTGCTGCACCTAAAGTAAACCGTTTCTGTCGTATCACTGTCTACCGGCGTTCGCTTCTGCCAATTAGAGATTGGTGCGAGTGGACTCGCGCTTTTCCGTAAGTTTTTCTCTCTTTAAAAATAAAAAAATATAAAGTCCGTCATCGCGGCTCACTCTGCTGTAGATTCATATTCACCACCAGCTTTTCGTTAGCCGAGCTGAGCTTGCTAACAACATTATTTATGATGCTAACACGTCGCTGTCAACGCTTAAAATGGAGCAAGTTTTTTAGTAAACTTTCTTATATCGTATTGCCCACCAGTCAGCAACGTAAATCTGATATTTTAAACTTAAGCCGATGTTTGTAAATATCTAATGAACGTAATGTAAATTAAGCTACACAATCCGCTAAAAGTGTACAGTATTATTAAGCCATGGTTAGAAATACTGTGTCAGCTGAAGAAACTACAGCTACAGCAGGTCAACCTTAACCGTGTGAAGAAGCACGGCATTCAAAAACAACGTGTTAACCTCGCGTTTATCCGATGTAAAACAGCAAAATGTAAAGTACCCCTGCTGTCTCATTATCTGTCCTTCCAAAATGTCACATCATGGGAAATCTCATGAACTACAACCCAGCAAATTACCCATGGGCAACAGTTAAATATTGGTCTGTGTGTATACATCTGTCAATCTTGTTTGGTTCTATATACATAATTATTGTGTGTTTGTTCATTTTTTTAGAAAGCACAGCCATGTGCAGCTGTGTGCGGAGCTCCAGGGCTCTGTCCCCTGTCCTGCTCCCAAGGCTGCGGCTTGTCCCCCACATGGGCTACAGACCAGCCGGCAGGGGCCTTTGGACCTCACCCCACCTCATGGCAGTCAATGGAGACTCCAATCTGCTCCCGCTGCCCAGTCAGGCGAGGGTGGTTATCTGTGGAGGAGGAATTGTGGGATCTTCTGTTGCCTACCACCTGGCCAAACTAGGCTGGACTGACATTGTGCTCCTGGAGCAGGGCAGGTGAGACAAAATGTCAAAGTGTCACCGTTTTGGCACTTACTTACTTATCCTGATCATTTAAATGTCATTAAGCCAGTTTTTAAATTATACGGGCAACAGAGAATCAGGAGGATTTTTAAAACAGTTTTAGACTATTAGTTCTCTGTACTTCTAAACATCAATGAAGGGATATTGTTTGATTAATGATATTCTTTTTGTTGACAGACTCGGTGCAGGAACAACTAGACTCTGTGCTGGAATTGTCAGTGTGGCAAAGCCAATATCTATTGAGTGTCAAATGTCCAACTACTCCAACGGTCTTTACGAACAGCTGGAGAAAGAGACAGGAATCAAAACAGGTTTGCATACGATTTTTTTTCAATTATTTAATTTGGAAAAAAAAATTACATGGAATCAGAATGCACTTATATTGTATTTATTCTCAATTTACATTTTACTTCCATTTTCTTCTGTCTTTTAGGCTATGTGAAGACAGGGTCACTGTGTCTGGCTCAAAATCAGGATCGCTTTATCTCTCTGAAGCGTCTGGCATCCAGACTAAAGTAAGATATCATAACTTTTGTTTTAATGCATACACCTTTGAAAGCAGCTGCTGGGTAGAGTTTATAATAATAGTTGTAATATGTAACGCTGACATTGACAGATTAGTCCTATTTTTCCCCTTTGTTTTAATAACAACACATAATGTCTGCCTTTGTTTTCATCACTCATCAGAGTCATGGGAATCAACTGTAATATTATTAAGCCCAAAGAGATAGCAAAACTCCACCCTCTCATCAATATCCATGACCTGGTCGGAGCCCTCCACCTCCCTTCAGATGCAGTGGTGTCGCCACCTGAAGTTAATCATGCTCTGGCCGTAGCTGCCGCTGGACAAGGTAAATACTTTTTGAAATCAAGTGATCAATACTGGTAGTGCTTTTAGGCCAAATATGATGCTGTTTCACTCTTTTTCTCTTTCTGCCTTGCATTTCAACTCCATCAACCTCTTTTTGTATTCTCAGGGGTTCAGATACTGGAGCGGACCAGTGTTCAGCAG